TCCTGGTGCTGTTTTTTCCCTCCAAAACCCCCTCTCCTTTTTTAGCAAAACAAATCTTCTATTTTTGTAATATTTGTATAATACAATTATAATATATATTATTCCTAATCCTATATATTATCTTTATAATAATTATATTCCTTTTTAGTTTGTGTTCTATTTATTTAAAATAGTTACAACAGATTTTGAGACCTTTTAATTAATGGAGATTAAATTATAATTTAGAAGCTTGATATATGGTGGAGATCAAGTATAAACTAACGAAGCCAAAAAATTACAATATTAACATTTAAATTACCATTATATTTTTTTTAGGCAAAAATTACCATTATATACTTGTAAAATCTTATAAAATAATAATAATTGAGTTAGTTATCTATTAAATGTTCCTGTAATAATTTTTTTTTGTAACTTATAACTTTTTTTCCTTTAAAAAATCAATTAACTATTACTAAAGCAGGTCTTACTTACATCGATCGATTTGGACATAGTCGCTATCCTTAAAAAATTTCTCGACAATAAAATATATGATTTCAGCTTTAATTATTTTTAGTTATTCTACTTAGCTTATTTATTGGAAGTACTATAGTGTTTTTTTTTTTAACTAAATTAATTTATTAATAAAAAGTCATACAACATCTACATTGTATAGTTTTATTGGGAATAACATACTTCATTAATGTAACATAATGCATACTATTTATCAACACGACTAATAAAATATAATTTTTTTTCTCAATTGTAGTTTTAATATTTATTGCCTCATAATTGCATTTGTTAATAATTCCACATGAGTTGCTTCATTTTCATATTATATCACAAATTAATGGATGAAAAAAAGGACTATTACTACTGTGCATCGCACGGGCACTAATATAGTATATACTAAATGTGGCATAATAGTTTAGTGCTTTAAGATACGAAGTACATAACAAAAATCTCCAGTTCAAATTCCCATTGATTACCTTATTTTTCCCATTTTTTGGAAAAAGCAATTAATGCCTATTATACATTTCATTTTTTAACATAGTCCATAACTAATGCCTTTATATTTCATTTTTGGTGATTACAACATTAATATAATTTGTTCTTTGTGTGGGGATAAATCAAGGGCTTTGCTTTCTTAATTTTTTTAGAAAAAATTATAAAAATAAGCTGGGAGTATAAAAGCTTTTTTTGCGAAGCAATGATGAGTTTAGAAATTCTATTTCTTTTAAATGGTAATTTGAATGGAAGGCCAAGTTTTGTACTTCTTATTTGCACACGGCCTCCGAAAAGGTTGGGATGCCCTACAAACAAGTTATTGAACATACCTCTGATTTGACCACTGCCATTGCTCCTTCTGGCATTAGACTATACCCTTACGTGTAGCTTGATGATGAAAATAGTCTCTGGTTTCTTGTGAGAAGAAATTTAGAAAAGCAATCACCAATTTGAAATATAGTTGACTTTATTCCCCTTCACACAACAAACTTTATTATGGTTATAAAAGTCTTAATTCCTTGTTCACAACTTTCATCCACTATGTCACCTAGCCTTAAACAAGGAAAGGATGTGACCATGACACCTGACACAGTACTCCTGCAATGAGACAAGCAGGACATCAATATCAAGGTTTAGTAAGCTGGTGAATCCATGTGCATAGGTCATTCGATGGAAAAACAAAAGAAACACATGCATTGGATATGTTCTTTTCATATTACTTTCAAATAACTTCTGAAGTTCCGATATACCTTTAGTTTATGGCTTATTACCTTTATTTTACATTTTTACAAGGGTTTTTTTTTTTTTTTTTTTTGATACAAGTTTATTTAACAAGTTGGTACCTTTAGTTAGTAGTAAGTGACAAAGCTATCCTCATTCAGAGCTCCTAAACCTTGTTTTGAAGACTTGTTTAGAAGTATACTAAGATATCTTTGTTAATCAACAATTTTTTCAGAAAAACTGATATTTTTTGGTGTAGGGTGTAGTAATGAATATTATGCACACCACTTAATTTCCTCATGGCCAAATCAAGCATAACAGCCTTTTAATTACAGCCACATTTGGTCACCTATTTCCAGCCTTAAAAAAACCTGTATTTACATCTTCCAAGTTCTTAAAATTGCCAAAACGTATACCAATAAAAAATAATCCTTTTCTTTACTGTCACCTAATAGCAACATACATGTGATTATACAGTAGATGAATATTTAAGAACTACTTCAAATTACAGCAAAACAAACAATATTAAAAGAAGGTTTCATCTGGCCCTGTCATCATGAAATAATTAAGAACTATTTCTGATTACAGCAAATTGAACAATCTAAAAAAAGGTTCCATATTGCCCTATCTTCCAGTATGCACAAGTCACTAGATTTATCATCTTGTGAAGCTAAGTTCCACAACTACAAACAAAAAATTCCGATATTTGATAAGACAATGCTTTAATCTAATCAAATTTGAAAACGAGTTATGTTTCAAAAGCTCCTTCGCGTGGACACACAATCCTGCTTGCACCTTACGAATCTTCATTTCGGTATGTGACAACACCTTCCAGTTTTAAGTTTTCGGCAAGTTTCAATTTTCAGCAAATAGAGGCATGTCCCATGAAGAATATATTCTTGTCAAATTATGTTCACATTTAATGACAATAAAAAAGCTAAAACAATTCATTAATCAATTCAAAATCACACCCAAAAATGCATTTCACTTAAAGCAACGGATAGCAACAGTCTCAAGAGTAAACCCATCACCATTTTCATCAACTAAACAATCGACGATTACTAATTCAACTACCATACTTCTCAATCAACTAAATGAATCAAAATTCAACACTATAAAACACTAAAATAATAACATTTACAAATAAACACCGGCAAAGAAAAACACTAAACATCTAGAAAAACAGCTCAATTCACTTAAAAACAATCTCAACAATAACATCAACACATTGAATACAAATTCATTTTATCAATTGAACAACCAAACACTTCAAAATGGCATTTTTAAATTGATTAAAAAAAGCAATAAAATGCTCAAATTGGCGTAAATTTGCAAATTAATCAAGAAAATGATAACCCAGATACCATTAAACAAAGCTAATTAGTAAATTAAAAGCAAATTACGTTGAATAATCAATCAAATAGCGAGTAATTAGAAGAAGGAAAAAGTAGAAATGACCTTGAAATGAGCAATGGGAGATGAAGTCCGGCGAGAAGCATACGCCGGCGGCGAAGAAATGGAGGAATTGACGGCGGCGAATATGGAGTGAAGTTGGTGGCAAAGAGAGAGTGTGGGGAGGAGAGAGAAAGAGATCGAAGAAGAAATGAGGGGTAGCAAACTTGGGGAAGAATTTCAGAGGTTGAACTACTGGGTTTGTTTCTACTGTAGGTCTTATTCGTGTGTTCTATCTTGTGCAACCTCGTCCATGTGTCATAAATTGATCCCATTCGATTTTATTTGAAGTAACTCAATTCGAAATGATTTGACATATTATGCAGTAACCTGATTCATATACATCTGTATGTTTTTGTTAAAAATGTTATATTGACCTGTAATGCAATGCATAATATGAAATATTTCGTACGTAGTATGTAATAATGCTACGTAATTTGGTGACACTTACTTTGTCCTTTTAATATTTCATTAATTACATGCCTGTACAATTCATTAACACTCCTTAAAAATTTTGTCTACAAGTCCGCAATGCCTCTTGAAAGTTGCAACTCGCAAGTAACAAGAATCGGAGATGGTATTAACCCTTATGGTTAGATCTATGTCATAACTATATGAATTCTACAGCAATGTCTATGCTCTGTTCAACTTATCTAAGCAAATGACCCTAGCTACACCACAGGCCTTTTTTTTTTTTTTTTTGTTTTATTTTTCTCACGGTAAGGCACACAACTTACTCCCATGAGTCCCATCATTTATCTCAAATATAGGCTAGCTGATAAAGTCATAAAACAAATTCAGCCTAGTTCGTACTTACGTTACTACGTTTAGTACGTTACATAGGACGTCAGATATACTGGTATAATTCACTGAAATAAAAAAAAAAATACAGGCGATTGTTTTTAGTATTATTATTATCCGATTATTGAATTCTTCGTAAATTAATTGGCTCGGTGAATCAGATTGAAGACAGAATATGTAGTTGTTTGGGGGGAAAAGGGCCATTTGTGTTGTTTGGTGGCGATCTCACTGCCATGTTACAGGTTTGATTTCTTCATTTTATATGCATTAATTTATGCCAAATTTCCATTTTTTAGGTAATTGGGTATTTGATTTATGTTTAAATATTGTTAATTGTATAATTAATTGCTTGATGAGTTGAATTTGATGCCAAATTTAGCTATAAACCCTAAAAGTTCAATAGTGTTGTTATAGTTGGGTACCTTGATTTTGTTCAGGTTATTTTTGTGATGTTTGTGCAATTTCGCATATGTTCATTTGTGATTTGTGATGAATATATATGATGTTGCCAAGAAAGCAAAATCAAAACCCTAATTTGCTTTTAGAGTGAAATTCAAATGGTGGGGAAAGTTTGAGAATTGGTAGTATGAAGAATTGAAGAGACTAGAAGTGTGTTGTTACGATTTTTAGAGGCTGTGATCGTCCGATTTTGGTATAGGATAAATGAAGATAATGATAGCGGAAAAGGAATGGATTATAAACTATACAGTCTAGCAATTAATATAAAATCAATTAATGGAGCAATTCTTTTCTGTATATATAAGAACAAAAAATGAATTTAAAAAAAATGAAGATAACAATAGAGATGGGATATCGATATTGATCTTGAAAATGATGCTGGTACTATCATGCTTTGAAGGGGTCATGTGAGTCATGGTGTTTCTCCTATCCATCTAATCTATAAAGATATCAAGCAAGCTAGATAGTACTTCTTTCGATTTCGTTAATTTGTCACATGTTAGAAAAGCATTTCATATAGTCTATTGCTAGGTGGGATATCAATATTGATCTTGAAAGAGTTTGTATAGGTACCTTTGCTTTCTGAAAAGTTTAACAATTTTAGCGGAGCTGAGATTGAATTAATCTAATGATAAGTCAAGTCCACTCTATCTTTCCCTTAGAAAAGAATTAAAAATTGGAAGTTGGCACATAGGAAACTGGATATATTATGCATGGTGGCCGTCTAATTAGGCTAACTTATCGTTGAATAAATACTTCCTCTGTTTTTATAATTGCACCATTTGCCATTTCATGCTTGCCAATGTAACAAAAGAGGTTGTGTGAATAATGTAAATTTACAAATGGTGCAATTAATAAAATACGGAGGAGGTATGTATACATTAAAGTCAGTAGTACAAACAACTAGATCATGGAGGATAGGAGGGTGGTCTATTTATTATTCTTGCTGTCCCATTTTAGTTGTCAAAGATTTTAATGTGAGATATCCCTCCCAAAATAGTGGTTATAACTTCAATATTTCGTAAGAAACTACCAAAACATTAATGTATAGATAAACTTAATTTTTATTGGTAAAAAATAATTTAAAAGATGGGAGCAATGGAGCATTACAAATATTGATGTACTCTTATTTTGATGAGCATCCTCAGCATTTCTACTTGCTAACACTCAAAAGATATAATCAAAAATCAAAATGTGGTTTTTTGGAACAAATAATTCATCTGGATTTTCAGGGTCTTCAACAGCAGAAGAAGTTACACATGGAATTGATGGTACCGGCCTTACTGCCATTGTTACAGGTCCATTTTTTAATTCATGCTTTGACAGATTAATTTGCCCGCATTTGATACAAAGTAATCAATATGATATAACTATGACTTGTATCGTTGTACGTACGAAGGAGCATCAAGTGGCCTTGGTGCTGAAACAACGCGAGTTCTTGCTTTACGTGGTGTTCATGTTATTATGGCGATTAGGAATATTGCTAATGGAAGAGAAATCAGGGCAAAAATACTTAATGAAGTTCCGAGTGCTAAAATTGATATAATGGAGTTAGATTTGAGCTCAATGGCATCTGTTAGAACATTCGCATCAGATTACAAGTCTACTACTCTTCCCCTGAACCTTCTAATGTAAGAACTTTGATTTGCTGTGATTAAACATACACCTATGGTTTGTTAAAAGAAACTACTGCAGTATTGATTTTTTGGTTATTTCTTAGAAACAATGCAGGAGTGTGTGCTCCCCCTTTTACTCTCTCTGAAGACAACATAGAGCTGCAATTCGCGACAAATTACTTGGGTAAGTAGTGTTAATCTTTGAGCTATCAGTCGTTTAGTTTATAACAGGTTCTTATATTATAATAACCTTCAATTCTGCAGGTCATTTCCTTCTAACACATCTTTTGTTGGACACTATGAAAAATACTGCACTTGAAAGTGGTAAAGAGGGGAGGATTGTTAATGTTTCATCTGAAGCTCATCGATACACAATTCGTGGAGGAATTTCTTTTGATAGGCTAAACAATTCATCAGGGTATAGAAATACAGTAGTTTCTTATTACATACTCTTTCACTTGCTAAAAGTATTTGTTTTCGCGTTATTGGACATTATTATCAATTCGGATGTCTAGTTGCAACATCTCACACTGATGGAATTGAACCTTCATTGACCGCTCATTTGTATAAGCCTAATGGTTGTTAGTATGCACAGGTATTTCGGCCTTTTAGCATATTGCCAATCAAAACTCGCCAACAATTTGCATGCTAATGAGCTAGCAAGACGTTTCAAGGTAGTCTTTTCCTTGACAAAAACCATACATTATTCATACATTGGCCCCTTTTAGGCAATTTTCTAATGTATTCGTTGTTATTTTAACTGTATTTTGTAATTTGATAAACAGAATGACAGGGTTCAGATAACTGCTAATTCTCTTCATCCTGGAGGAATATATACAAATATTTTCCGCTATACAAGCTTGTTAGACAGTAAGTTTTTCTTTCCTATAGTAGCGCTTAACTCGATCTTGTACATTTTACTTATGATGGTTTTAAAAATACATTGCTTGATTGAACAGGCATTTTTCGTATGCTTGGCATGTTTATTTTCAAAGATGTACATCAAGTAAGTTACCTTATTAGCTTAAACCACAGACCAAGATCAGATCATGATCACCACACTTAGCTTACAAATATAAGCGCGATTGATTTAGCTCATATCGATCTTCTAACGATGATCTAAAATTATTATAGGGAGCTGCAACAACATGTTATGTGGCTTTGAATCCAGAAGTGGAAGGCATAAGTGGTGAATATTTCAGCGACTGTAAAATAGCCAAGCCTTCAAAGTTATCTCAAGATATCACTTTGGCGCGGAAGTTGTGGGATTTTACCATGGATGTGATCAAATAATGTGTTATGGAACACCCAACTTAATTAAACAGTTGAATTGTGGTTCAAGCCTCAAAGTATAAGGTTTTTATTTTTATTAGAGGCTAAGCCGATCTAGCACTTTTGATTTATAAAATATGCAAATTAATTAATTAAGTGGCAAAATTGTAAACCAATCTGAAAAATTACATAATAGTCAATTAGTCCTAATTTGGTAGAAAAATCAATAATTGTGAGTACATTTTTAATGAAAACATTTGGACTTGTATTTATATAAATATATAATTGTGGAGTACATTTTTTTTTTACTTATTTGCCCTCATTAATGTTATCATGGTGGATAAGAATATGGCAGCCGGAACAAAGGTTAGGACTAAAATACTCGAAGAAACTCCGAGTGCTAAGGTTGATATTGTGGAGTTGGATTTGAGCTCAATGGCATCTATTAGAACATTTGCATCAGAATTCAAGTCCCTTAATCAACCCTAAATTTGAGTGGGAAGAGAGAAAAGAAGTGAGAAAACAAGGGTCTGTTAAGAAAAATTAATATATTAATGGATATCAAAGAGTAAGAGGCCTTCTAAAATTCACTATCCATAAAAAAAGAGGAACACTAGGAGATAGAGTCTTTAGTGGAAAAGGAAATGAGAAGGGAGGAGGAGAAGAGGGGGTATAGCAAGTAATACAATAATTTGTAAAATTTGCAAGATCGTAAAAGATATGAGAAGGGGGGAATGGGAGGAGTAGTAAAATTTGCAAAATCATAAAAGTCAAATGAGAACTTTGTGGATGATTTTCAGTGTTGAAACATACCTTTAATAAGACATCAAACTTGTGAAAAAAAAACATAATATTTTTTAAGACACATGGATTGTAAAGAAGAACTTAAAAGAGATATCTAGTAGATAGCAGTGAGTTTTAGTGTAGGGGGAGGAAAGGATAGTGGTACACTGAGAGAGGGAGCAAGTAGGTAGAGACTAACTAAAAAAAAAACCTCAAATATAAGTAAGGTAAAATAGATAGAGACTGAAAAAATAAGGGCATGAAAAGATTACTAGACAAATTGATAGTTAGAAGAGGCCTTCAAAAATTCACAATTCATAAAAATTAGTAACAAAAGGAGAATGTTAAAAAATTCACAATTTGTAAAGTTGGGACAGCCATCGGTTAATCAATAGTTTAGACTTTAGACCGCTTGATGAAGAATGTTCATAGTTGGGAGTTGGGACTGATAACGTCAGTGTTCCCTTTAAATTTTTCTTACGAAAATAAAAATATAATGTAAAAAACGTTGGCTATACAAAATTTAAACTATAAACCATTTAATAGCGATGTGTGGCGGTTATGGTGGCATAATGGTAATGTGGGCCATATAAATGCAATTGTTGTAGGTAGAGCTAGGCCGTGCCGGCCCGCGGGCGGCACGAGGACACGAGATTGGCCCAGCACGGCACGAGTCCACCATCGGCACGTTGACTGAGCAGTGGGCCATGGGTCATGCCGTGGACATGATTTTGAAAAATCGGCACCAGCACGACACGAACCGGCGGGTGGCACGGTAGTTTGGCCCGCCAGCACGACATGTTATTAGGCACGGCCCGACACGAGATTGGCCCGGCACGGCACGAACCCGCCAGCGGCACGGTGACCGAGCAATGGGGCATGGGTCGTGCTGTGAACACAATTTTGAAAAATTCAGCACGAGCAAAGTACGAACCGGCTTGCGGCACAGTAGTTTGGCCCGCGAGCACAGCACGCTAGGCACGGCCTAGCACGGGCCTGACACGAGATTGGCCCGGCACGACACGAGTCCGCTAGCGGCACGATGAGCGAACAATGGGGCCATGGGACTTGTTGTGAACACGATTTCGAAAATTTGGCACGAGCACGGCACAAACCGGCTGACAGCACGGTAGTTTGGCCCGCCAGCAGGCTCGCTAGACACGACCCAACACGACCATAAAAATAACATAGATAATAATAAAGTACTATAATAAGTTATAATAAGTAGTAATAAAAAGAACAATAATAATAATATAATAATAATAAAACATAAATATAAATTAATAAAAAAAAATAAATAGATATCCATTTTAAAAGTTGTTAAAAAAACATATATTGATTTTTTTTTTTAAAATTAAAAATATTATGGGCGAACCAGTGCCCGACACAACACGACACGCCATGCACGTGGGTCGTGTCGTGGGCTGTGGTGTGCCAAATGGTGCCCCGGCGCGAGCCACCACCAGGCATGGCCCGCGGCGGCCTGACACGGCACGACATGAGCCACCACCAAGCATGGCCATGGCCTGCGGTAGCATGCTGCCCACCTCTAGTTGTAAGTTGATGGTTTATGTAAGATGTGGTTGGTGTATGTGGATCTAAGAGAGAGTTATATGAGATAGATCAGATACTCCGATCCGTAGTGAGAGAGAGAAAAGAATGTAGGATGGGGATCGATTCGGGTTTGACCTGCAAATTTACGGGTTACATTGGATTTTGGGTCAAAATTTTTTTGTTCTAAACCCACAAAATGGGTTAAGTTTGGATCGATCAAACCGGCAAAAAAGTTAAGGAAAATGTTGTACGTAGGTACATATAAGCATTAAATTCACATTTGAAAATAATAAAAATTGAGTAATCATAAATATATAAACACTAATTACACTGATTTACGCGTGTGTTTTGTCATGAATTCCTAATTTTATACAATTCCAAAAATATATTTAATGCTTACATATAGCCCTTAGGACTACATATACCATTACCCAAAAATTAATAGATCTATGAATATTCAATTTAGCTTATAAAACAAAAAAAAAATGCAAATAACTCTCACGATTCTTAATACAAAGCCTCTTTCTAACATTTATTACTCACGTAATAAAGAGAAAGATACTTTAATTTAGGGACAGATGGATTAATAAATAAACATTAATTCCCAACTCACACCCACCCCGCCTCCCGCGCAGTCGCTTCACGAGTTGACGTCCCCAGACAAGTATGCCTCCCGAGTCCCGACTCTCTCTTCTCCTCCACCGCCATAACTTCCACCACCACCACCACCACTCTCCGCTACCACTTCTCTATACTGCTACGACGTCGTAGGGGTAAGGTTTTGCCTGTTGATCAAGATCTAATAGTGGGCAAATGGGGTAATATGAGTATTACGTAGTATGAGATAAAAATAACCACTAACCACCTCCTAATAAATTTGATGATGTCGAAGTCGAAGAAGACGTTAAAAAATAACCACTAACTTCATTATGATTTGACATTGTGTTTTAAGTCATTTGAATGACAGAGCAATTTGGTGAGCTGGCAAAAGTTACTGCTCTCTTTATTTTCAAAAACACCACTTGGTTGACATTTCTGTTGATGGCTCTATATAAACGAGGCTCAATCTTTATTGGTTATCACAAATATTGATCTATTCTTCTTTTCAAGAGTATTTCTACTTGCTAACATTTAAAATATACAATCAATAATCAAAATGTGGTTTTTTGGAAGAAAAAATTCATCTGGATTTTCTGGGTGGTCTACAGCAGAAGATGTTACTCATGGAATTCATGGTACCGGCCTCACTGCCATTGTCACAGGTCCTTGTTAATACTATTAATACTACTTGAATTGTACTCTGTAGTTATTTAATTTACCATTTTTGTTCCTTTGTGTTTTTTCCTATCTATGTTGGACCCTCGACACTCAGACATGAGTATGATACTTAGACATTTTCAGTGGCGGATCTTGAGCCAAAAAGTTAGTGGGAGATCCTTCAACCTTTTGCATAAAAATAACAATATTTAACCATTATACCACAACATTTTATTTGTAATTATTAGACATCATATTACTTATAATCAATAAGTCAAATATACTTAAGGGGGGGGGGGGGCGATCCCTTACCCGCCCTAACCAAGATCCGCCCCTGGACACTTAACTTTTAATTCAAAATCAAGGAATTTTTTTTTTCACAAAATAGCTAAGTCGGACGCTTGGACATATAACTGTGTCAGACACGAGTATTCAAGTCCATGTAACATAGCTCGTAATAAAGATAATGGATCAGACTTATGATATTTCTTTTGCTTTCTTTGCTATTTGGCTAATATTACCCTAACGGCCTAACATAAGGTGCTTGATTATGGAAATGATGCTTTCATGTTGTTTTTAAATAGCTTTTAATTGTGCAAAATAATTAAGATGGTAAAATAATGTGCAATAATAACTTTGTAGTATTGATTTGTTAAACAAAGGATGTTTCACATTTATCGATTGATCCACGATCTGCAGGAGCATCGAGTGGCATTGGTGCTGAAACATCACGAGTTCTTGCTTTACGCGGTGTTCATGTTATCATGTTAGATAAGAACCTGGCTACTGGAACAAAGGTTAGGACTAAAATACTCGAAGAAACTCCGAGTGCTAAGGTCGATATTGTGGAGTTGGATTTGAGCTCAATGGCATCTATTAGAAAATTTGCATCAGAATTTAAGTCTCTTAATCAACCCTTGAACATTCTCATGTAAGAAAACCATCTAATTAATCATCCATCTTTAATTTTTCTTGAGTCTTACTATAAATTCTTAATTACATAGTAACAATAAATTTGCCCCTTTTGTTACTTAGAAACAATGCAGGAGTGTTAGGCTGCCCTTTTACTCTCTCCCAAGACAACATAGAACTGCAATTCGCGGTAAACTACTTGGGTGAGCAATCTAGCTAAATAGAAAGGAGGTAGAGATTAATTAAGACATTAAGTATGGGATTTTTTGTTTTTGGTTTTTGCCATTTTGATTCTAATGGAGATTTAAAAGCTTAAAACATATATATGGGGATGTTTAGTGCAAGTGCATCCATCGTTTCCCCATTAGAGATATGAGATATTAGAAAATATTTGACTCTTGATACCATATACAAAAGAATATTCACAAGATAAATTCTATTTACATAAAAGAATCAAAGAAATTGTGATCTACAGGCTAATTATGTACACCTCAGCTTCCATGATTTTATTTATGGTTAACGTTGTTTCTTGCATTGCCTTATTATTATCCACAAACTTCAAAAAAAAAAAAAACAGGTGTACAATACATCCATTATAAAGATAGCCTAAAGTGAATAAAAGTTGCCTCTGAAATGAAAAAAATCAATTATTAGTGATTTAATATAATTAAATTACCTTTGTAAAATTTTTCTTGTTGTCTATTTATATAAAAATTGTATTGTGTTTAAAGTTACCCATAAAAAAAGGCAAAAAGTTACCCTTATACAGCTCGATTTACACTAATTCGATTTACACTAATATTAGTGTAAACCGGGTGTATACAAAAGTTTTTAATTATTATCTGTAGGTCATTTTCTGCTGACACATCTGCTGTTGGACACAATGAAAAACACTGTACTTGAAAGTGGTAAAGAGGGGAGGATTGTTAATATTGCATCAGAAGGCCATCGATTCACATATCGTGAAGGAATCCTTTTTGATGAACTCAACAATCCATTAAGGTAAATTTAACATTAGTACATTCTTCCAGACATACACATGTGCATAATTAAGAGTTGTAACTTTAAATTGATTGCACTCATCCACTTATGCAGGTACTCTAGATTTGCTGCATATTGTCAATCAAAACTTGCTATTATCTTGCATACCAGAGAGCTAGCAAAACAGCTTAAGGTAACACATTCGACACTGATTAATTTCGTAAGAAAATGACATTAGCCCCTCTGATCCTGTACTGCTCTGCAGCTCTCAGAATACAACTTTGATTATTCTGATGAAAATCCCTTTGTTGATCAGGATGATGGGGTTGATATAACAGTTAATGCAGTTCATCCTGGATATGTTTATACAAATATATCAAAAAGCAGATTATTAGATGGTATTCACTTTTTTTTTTGCAAATTGTTGTATATCTAATATCTTGCCTTAGCCTACTCTTATATATGCGTGTGACATTTTTTTTTGGGACGGAGTTGTGGTTTAATTATGCATTGCGTGGATGCGGCAGTTATAAACACGCTTTCGAGACCTATTATTAATTGTTTATTCATGAAAGATATTCCACAAGTAAGTGTCTTGAAACATACATACATGATCAAACTTTGCAATGTTTCATCCTTCGTCTCTTCTGGTGATAAACTCGTTCGTTGCAGGGAGCAGCGACGACATGCTATGTGGCCTTGCATCCACAAGTAAAAGGCATAAGTGGTGAATATTTCAATAACTGTGATTTAGCCAAGCCTTCTAAGCAAGCTCAGGATATCACCTTGGCTAGGAAGTTGTGGGAGTTTAGCATGGAATTGGTCAAATAATGTGGTGAATATAACTGTTAATTTGTTGGTTTTTGATGTTAAAACTAAGTGTAATGCAATATAACATTGAAACTCAATCATAAATATTATAATTCTTTTCATGTATTTGGTACAAAATAATCCAAGTTAACGTCCTGTACTCCTGTTTTGTAATATGGTACCCCCCCCCCTTTTAACTCCGTGTTATTATTATTATTCTTGTTTATAATCTTTATAATTTGAAGTAATCTTCAAATTTATTTACAATTATAGAAAGTAATAGTGCTATGATGGTTAGATGAGTAATCAGTTTAATCGGCACATAATTTTAAGATAATGTATTAGATGTAGTAAAATATTGTATAAGTGCCGTTCAAAAAAAAAAAATTGTATAAGTGGGTTCTGAGAATCAAAATATAATCTCCACAAAAAAAAAAACAAAATATAATAGAGATAGTGGAATAATAATTTACTAATTAGTATTACTTCGTATAAAATAAGGTATGTGAGGGGAAAAAAATCAAATATAAGTGGAGACCGTGTAAAGAGAAAGAAATTTTAACCAAGCATGCTTGATGGAGTTGGTGAGGAACTCACTTTGTCCCAAGTTCGAGCTCCATCAACTATATAAATGTTTGGGAGTAGGGGGATTCTCTTAACTCTCCTCTCCCCCTCTAGCCTCTAAGCCTCTACTCCCAAGCGATGACTTGCATGTATATAATTATATACACTTCGGTGCATGGTGTGGGTTAGTTTTTGCTCACTTATTCTTTCAATTTAGTAAATCAAAAGATCAGATGAGACTTGAAATCAAATCAAATTTAAATCATTTTTTTTTTTGACGGAAAATTTAAATCAAAGTAAGTGTATAGAACCTAACATAAACCACTAATTTTCCTACAATACCTACAATATGGTAATATGACTATAACCACCCAAAAAAACTAGTAAAGCATAAAACGACACGAGCACAATACACACGCCATAAAGTCATAAACCATAGTTGAATACTTTATTGAATAATTGACATCACATTATATTACTAGATAAAACAAATTCAGCCTAATATGTTTGGTACTCCGTATCAATGAATCAATGATTTACCCTTTTTGGTAATCCTAAAATAAATTAATTGGGAAAAGAAACAAACAAAAAAAAAAGAAAAAAAAAACAGTCGATCTTTTAGGTAAGATTAGCCGATTATTGAGTTGTTCGTAAATTGATTGGCTCATTGATTGAATCATTGAAGAGAGAAAATGTGGTTCTTTGGGGGCAAAGGGGCATCTGGGTTTTCTAGTTCATCAACTGCTGAACAAGTTACCAATGGAATTGATGGTACCGATCTCACTGCCATTGTTACAGGTTTGTTTTCTTTATTTTATATGCATTTTCAAGCTTTTATTTTTGGCAAATTTTCAATTTTTTGGTAAATGGGTATATGATTTTTGTTATGATTTTGTTAATTGTAGTTGATTGTTTGATGGGTTCAATTTGATGCCAAATTTAGCTACAAACCCTAAATCGTATAGTTCATTAGTGCAATATTCATGTGTTTGTTATAGTTGGGTACCTTGATTTGATTCATGTTGTTTGTGTGATTTTTGTGCAATACTGCAATTGTGCATATGTTCTTTTGTGATCAATATGTATATGTTGCCAAAAAAAAAAAAAAAAAAAGCAGCAAAATCAAAAACCCCAGTTTGCTTTAGTGTGAAATTCAAGTGGATGTGGAAAGTTTGAGAATGGGTAGTATGAAGAAGCTAGAAGTGTGTTGGTACAATTTTTAGAGGTTGTGATTGTCCGGTTTTGGAACCGTCGTGTGGAATGTTTTTGGATTTGTTTCGATGCAAAAGATCAACTTTACATTTGTTGATATTTTAAGGGTAAAAGGTGTGTCATGGAGATCATGAGTGTTAACTTGTTTCAGGGATAGAGGGAAACCAGGGAGTGATGTGGAAGTTGTTGTTGATGATGTATGTCTATCAAAGCTAGCCTACAATTTACTGGAAGTCTGGCTGCTTGTTTTTATGAAGAAAGTTAGATTCTCATGGTTAATCAAATGGAAGTGAGTCACAGCAGAATGGTTCATCTCACATTGTCTTGCCGGTGTATGTTGGCTTTGCACTTAGATTTTTTTTAGCTTCTTTATTTTCAGCTGATAAATATGAGTAAAAGGTTAAATCATGACCAATGTTGGATCCACCAAGGTAACATTTGGTTCACTAAGTGATATGGGTTCAGATGGTTCTAAGAAAACTTTTAACTTTCCATTGTCTTGCTGCTGCTTAGAATAAAGCGGATGCTACTGGTACAGTGGCACCTTGGAACTGTGAAACTTTTTTTTTTTCCAAATGAATTTACCTTACTAATTTGTACTATGACTAAACCCTTATTTGCTGGAGATTGGTTTATGGATTATGGTGCCAGATGTTTAAATGAAAACTAGAATTAAGGTCCATTCCAGAGACATTTCTTTTTCTTTTTACTCAATATTTTGTGGTGAACAGTGTTGTTTTTTCTGGATGCAAATTTATGTAGCTAAAGCAAATTTCATGTCTTCTGTACTAATTTTTACTTGACTCAACTATTGAATAGGAGCGTCAAGTGGGATTGGAGCCGAAACCTCACGTGTACTTGCATTACGCGGTGTACATGTTATCATGGGTGTTAGGAATATGGATGCAGGCAAAGAGGTCAAGGATAGAATAGTTCAGGAAATCCCCAATGCTAAAGTTGATACTATGGAGTTGGATTTGAGCTCAATGGCATCTGTAAGGAAATTTGCATCAGATTATAAATCCTCAAAGCGGCCACTTAACCTTTTAATGTAAGAAACTCCTTTATAATTGTGGTTTTTTTGTTTCTGAGCTTTCAACTTTCAAATTTCTTTAATTTTTAGCTATCATCCTTGTATTCCTCTCCCCCTATATGAGCATGTTGGCACTGCCTGAGTGCCTGGTAGACTTGGTAGTGGTGTGTCATTTATTAATTACTTGGTTCATACATATGTGCTGTGTTTCAACCTTTTTTTGAGTATACTCTTAACCTGCCTTCATCATTTTAAGTAACAATGCAGGAATAATGGCCACCCCTTTCATGCTCTCTAAAGACAACATAGAGCTTCAGTTTGCAACAAACCACTTAGGTAAGTTGGTGTAATAAGTGTGACGGTAGTATTTTGTCATTGGTATACATTAATGGGTTTATCTTGTTCAAAGTATCCAGAATTTATCTTTCCTGTTGCTGTTATCTTATGTGAGGAGAGTATCACCTATGCCTTCCTGATTAAGTTTAATTTTCAAAATTTGCTGTTACTGATGTCAATCAGATTTTGATGAGAGATTATATAATAGCATGAATTTCTGGATTCATTTTTCTGACCTTAAAAATCATCCACTGAACATTTTCTTACCTCTTTTTACAGGTCATTTTCTTCTGACACATCTTCTGTTGGACACCATGAAGAAAGCAGCTCAGGTTAGTGGTAAGGAAGGAAGGATCGTTAATGTCTCATCAGAGGCTCACCGTTTTGCATATTCCGAAGGAATTCGTTTTGACAAACTTAATGATCCATCAGGGTAATATGTTAATTCCTGACTATTGTTTGTCAACCCTTCTGGGTATATTTTGTCGACATAGGGTCTGGATTCTGGAAGCCTGGGCGGTCCAAATGTATGGAGCCTTATGCTTCTCATCCAACCCTTCTGTTGTCTTATCCTTGATACCAGGAAATTTGTGTTGCACAGATAATTATATGTAAAGTTCACCCAGCCCCCCACCCCCCCCCCCCCACCCAATTCCGTGGTGATATTCTAATATGTTACATAGTTGATTCTTCATGACACTCCGTAGTATTTTCATGAACTGTACAGGTACAGCAGTTGGCGTGCTTATGGTCAATCAAAGCTTGCTAACATTCTGCATGCTAATGAGCTTGCAAAACGTTTAAAGGTACTCTTCTTTGACCTCTACCTCAGAATAAAGTTGTTCAATAGTTAATATCTTCCTTCTTTCAGTCACTATCTCATCTTATTATTCTTAATTGGGAGTGGAGGAGAGAGGGGCTATGGATTTTTTGATGTATTGATCTTGTCAAACTATTTTAAGTTAGAACTTCTAAGTTTTGGTTGCCTTAGAGATGACGAGATGTTCCGGATGTAGGTTAAATAGATTTGCTATTAATTTGTTGTAACTTTCATATGAAGTTATCTAAGGTGATAATGCATTTGTTGATCAGGATGAAGGGGCCAATATAACTGCAAACTCTCTTCATCCCGGGGCAATTTCTACAAATCTTTTCCGCCATAACAGATGGATGACCGGTACTCTGCTTAGGGGTAGTTCTTGCTGATTTTACACGTGTTACTCAAATCTATATCATATACAGAGGATTCAGCGTTCTTTTTTAAAGTTGATCTCATTTTATGGTGATTCAATGTGGCAGGTATTACTAGTACGGTTGGCAAGTATGTCTTGAAAAATGTTCCACAGGTAGGTTTCAGGATGACCAAATGCTCTGTAGAATTGTAGCCTCTACTTGTTTATCTGAAACTAGAGGATATTTAGTCTGATTGTAATTAGAAACATCATGTTCCTGTCGATTAAACAGTACTTCTGAAAATGTTCTCTCTAATCCAGAGCTTATAATTTCAGGGAGCTGCTACAACTTGTTATGTTGCTATGCATCCACAGGTCAAGGGCGTAAGTGGTGAATATTTCAGTGACTGCAACATAGCCAAGACTACTTCACAAGCTAAAGATGCTACCTTGGCCCAAAAACTTTGGGACTTTAGCATGAAATTGATCAATGTTTAATGATATTTCTTTAGTACACTCAATGTATGATTCAATTATAACGAACAGAAAACAAAGAAAAGTGTAGGCTCATTCTTGGAGCTTAAAGAACTGGTTGATTTGTAATGTACAATTTGCAGTGCTTTGAATCCTTTGATGCTGATTAAAGATTGTACCTGCAATGAGATTTATAAACAGAAATATTCATATATATATATGGTGTGATTTCTTGTTTGAAGATAGTTACTGAAAAGATAAAACATGAGATACTGATGTTGGCTACATACTTAATTTTACTGAAAAATTATAAGCTTAACTTGAAGAGTTGAACCCAGAACCCCTTATAAGGTTACCCATATTCGACCTTTTCAATCCTATGATGTTCATCATTTTACTCAAAAACTAAAAGTTTACCATAGGTAATTTGTTCGTTTTTTTAATGATTATTTTAATATTTTTCAAACTATTATTTCTAGCCTAGCAAAAGTCTATTTATATTTTATGGTAGTGATCATACTGACCAATTCTCATTAAAAAATAAAATTTGAAAAAATTGACCAATTTACATCATAATTGTCTATAAAATGATGAATATTGGCTGAGTAATCCCTATAAAACTATAACACTAACGAAGTAACCCTTATGTTGTTATTTTGTTAGCCACATAACTTCCTTTGTTTCTATTTAGTTGACGCGTTTGATTTTAATCATGTATATTAAGGAGAGGAGAGAGAGAGGGGAGAAAATGAAAAAGCTATTGGGGTAGCTTGTAAATGCAAGGTAAAAAAATTACCCTAAAAGGAAAGGTATCAACTAAAAAAACTTCCTAAAAAGGAATACGTGTCCACTAAAAAGGAATACGTGTCCACTAAAAAGAAACGGAGATAATATATGAATTTATGTAACTTAAAAATGTCAAATAAATATGGGTTACTTATTATAGTCAATATACTGATAAGCTATCAAAAGAGAAATTATGGGGAGCCCAATAAACGTAGACGCTCCTAAGTTCAAGTTTATTTTTTGTTATCTATTTATATATTATAGTCAAAGGAAATAATTAGCTTGATAAAAATGATAATTATCTAGTTATACTTGGTTGAACCCGAATATGACCTGACTTGAAAATGACTCGACCTGATTATACCCTGCAAAATTATTGACTTGAACATAACCCGACTAGACTCCGAGAATGACCCGACTTGGAAATGACCCAACCTGATTATAACCCGCAAATTATTGACTTGAACCGAACCCGACTCAAACCCGAGAATGAACCGACCTGATTCTAACCGCAAATAATTGACTTGAATCGAACCTGACTCAAAACCGAGAATTACCCTAACCCGTTTTAACCCGTGAAAACCCGAATTAAACATGACCTATTGTTCACCCGACTCGAATGTAACCCGACATGTTATTAACCTGACCTAAACCCGATAAGAAATAGGACACGACGTGACCCGACTCAAGCATGACCCAACCCAAACCCGACCTGCATAGGTTATGGAATTAATCCGAATCGAACCGACCCGACCCAAGTTGACCCGACCCACTCTTACCGACCCAAACCCGACCCGTTTACCCGAATTGACAACTTTACCTGAAACCTCCGAAATTTCTCAAAAAGTGTGAATTAGCCTTCAAATTTGGATTTTTTTTTTACTTTTTTTCACCCAAAAATTGAAATTGCCGAAATGTTTACCATGGTCTCAAATACCCTCCGAGAGTCCAATTGGGTGGGTGGAACCACCGAACCATCCAATTTGCCTTTAAACGACTAATTTACTGGTTTACAACTTGCACCGATTAAATTAACTCAAACCCACTACGAACTTTTGTGAGAACATATAATGATTATATATGGTTCCAAACGACATTATATGACCCCGAGATGTATCCCCTTAAATCTCAAAACTTTTCGACACCGGGCCTCGAAACATCCCAAATTTCTCAAAAAAACGTGGATATTATATTAGCCTTCAATTTTGGAATTTTTTTACTTTTTTTCGCCCGGAAATAAAAATAGCCGAAATGTTTACCATGGTCCCTTATACCCACCGGGAGTCCAATTGGATGGGTGGAACCAACCAATTTGCCTTTAAACGGCTAATTTACCGATTTCAACTTGCACCGATTTCATTAACTCAAGCCTACCACAAACATTTATGACAACATATAATGATCATTCATGGTTCCAAACGGCATTATATGACCCCGAGATGTATTCCCTAAAATCTCATTTCTTTTCGACACCAGCCCCGGAACCCTCGAAATTTCTCAAAATGCATGGATATAGCCTTCAATTTTGGAATTTTTTTACTTTTTTTTTTCGCCCACAAATAAAAATTGCCGAAATGTTTACCATGATCCCTAATAGTATGTGGGAGACCAATTGGGTGGGTGGAACCATCCTATTTGCCTTTAAACGACTAATTTACCTGTTTACAACTTGCACCAATTTAATTAACTCAAGCCTACTACGAACATTTATGACAACATGTAATGATCATATATGGTTCCAAACGGCATTATATGACTCTGATATGTATCCCTTAAATCTCAAAAAAATTTGACACCAGGCCTCGAAACATCCCAAATTTCTCAAAAAGCGTGGATTTCAATTTTGGAATTTTTTTACTTTTTTACGCCCGGAAATAAAAATTGACAAAATGTTTACCATGGTCCCTAATACCCGCCGCGAGTTCAATTGGGTGGGTGGAACCATCCAATTTGCCTTTAAACGACCAATTTACCGGTTTACAACTTGCACCAATTTCATTAACTCAAGCCTACCACGAACATTTATATCAACAAATAATGATCATATATGGTTCCAAACGGCATTATATGACCCCGAGATGTATCCCTTAGAATTTTAAGACTTTTCGACACCGGGCCCTGAAACCTCCAAAATTTCTCAAAAAGTGTGGATATTAGCCTTCAATTTTGGAATCTTTTTTACCTTTTTTTGCTCGGAAATAAAAATTGTCAAAATGTTTACCATGGTCCCTAATATCCTCCGGAAGTACAATTGGATTGGTGGAACCATCCAATTTGCATTTAAACAACCAATTTAATTACCGATTTACAACTTGCACAGATTTCATCAATTTAACTCAAGCCTACTACGAACATTTATGACAACATATAATGATCATATATGGTTCCAAACGACATTATATGACCCCAAGATGTATCCCATAAAATATTAATACTTTTCTAGGGCCCCAAAAACTCAAAAATTTCTCAAAAAGTGTGGATATTAGCCTTCAATTTTGAAATTTTTTGAATTTTTTTGCCCGGAAATAAAAATTGCCGAAATGTTTTACCATTGTCCCTAATACCATCCGAGAGTCCAATTGGGTGGGTGGAACCATCCAATTTGCCTTTAACGACCAATTTACTAGTTTACAACTTGCACCGATTTAATTAATTCAAGCCTACCACGAACAATTATGACAAAAAATAATGATCATAAATGGTTCCAAACGGCATTTTATGACCCCGAGATGTATCTCCTAAAAATATTAATACTTTTCTACACCGGGCCCCGAAATCTCAAAAATATCTCAAAAAACGTGGATATTAGCCTTCAATTTTGAAATTTTTTGATTTTTTTTTTTGCCCGGAAATAAAAATTGCCGAAATGTTTACCATTGTCCCTAATACCCTCCGAGAGTCCAATTGGGTGGGTGGAACCATCCAATTTGCCTTTAACGACCAATTTACTAGTTTACAACTTGCACCGATTTAATTAATTCAAGCCTACCACGTACATTTATGAAAACAAATAATGATCATATATGGCTCCAAATGACATTTTATGACCCCGAGATGTATCCCATAGAATTTCAAGACTTTTCGACACCGGGCCCCGAAACCTTCAGTTTTGGATTTTTTTTGACTTTTTTTGCCCGGAAATAGAAGTTGCCGAAATGTTTACCATGGTCCCTGATATCCTCCGGGAGTCCAATTGTGTGTGTGAAACCATTCAATTTGCTTTTAAACGGCCAATTTACTAGTTTACAACTTGCACCGATTTACCGGTTTACAACTAACGGCAATTTAATTGACTTGCAACGAACCCGACTTGAACCGAAATTGACCTAAACCCATTTTAACCCGTCAAAACCCAAATTTAAACCGACTTGTTGTTAACCTGACCTAAATTCAACCCAACCATTTCCTAACCCGACCCAATTTAACCCAACATGTTACAAACCCGACCCGAAATCAACCCGACTTGTTATTGACCTGGCCCAAACTAAAACCGACTTGTTATTGACCTGACCCGAATTTTACCATACCTATTACTTACCTAACCAAAAAATTCAACCCGATTGGTTACTAATCCGACTCGAAATTAACACGACCTGTTATTGACCCGACCTAAATTCAACCCAAATTGTTCCTGACCCGATTTTAAATCACCTTAAATGCAATTTAGACCACCTTATTATTGTTGATCAAAGCATGCATTTTGTCTTGGGAGACCAAGTCGGTCCATGCAAGCAAAAGAAAGGAGCATGATCCTCAAATTTAAAAGTTAAATATAGTATATATTTGTTGTATGGTCAAATGAGATAATTATCTTCCTAAATTATAGACTATCCCTAGTATATTGCCATATACTTGTATATTTTAGTCAAAGGAAATAATTAGTTTGATCAAAATGATAATTATCTATTTATATTTAGTTGAACCCGAATATGACCTGACTTGGAAATGACCCGGCCTAATTGTACCCTGCAAATTATTGACTTGAACATAACCCGAATTGAATCCGAGAATGACCCGACTTGGAAATGACCCAACCTGATTATAACCCACAAATTATTGACTTGAACCGAACCCGACTCAAACCCGAGAATGACCTAACCTGATTCTAACCCTCAAATTATTGACTTGAATCGAACCAGAGAATTACCCTAGCCCGTTTTAACCCGTGAGAACTCGAATTAAACCCGACCTGTTGTTCACCCGATCCGAATGTAACTCGACCTTTTATTAACCTTACTTAAACCCGACCCAAACCCAATAAGAAGTATGACCCGACTCAAGCATGACCTAACCCAAACCCGACCCGTATAGGTTATGAAATTAATCTGAATTAACCCGATCCGAGTTGACCCGACCCATTCTTACCCAACCCAAAACCCGACCCGTTTATCCGAATCGATAGCTGTAGAAATAATTAGATTAAAATATAGGGGGGGGGGGGATTACTCCGTACTTTCCAGTGTTGATCATTCATAACTCTGGTTCCCGCAACATCTTTAATCCATTTTCTCCACCTAAACTCTATCGGTCAATGCTCAAAGATCAACGGAGAGAGAAAGAAGAGAAGAATGTGGTTGTTTAGCCGAAAAGGGTCGTCTGGATTCTCAGGATATTCGACAGCTGAGGAAGTTACTCAGGAAATCATTGGCAACGGTCTTACCGCCATTGTCACAGGTTCATCATTTTCCCCTTCTTCAATTCTGTTCTTGATTATAAAGTTCAAGCAAAACCCCAGTTATTTAATTGGATTTTCTGAAATATAGAAAGATTTTAGAGTATTTTGAGCTTCATCTTCAATTTTATAATACTGGATTTTTTTATGGGTTTATTCAATTGTTGATGAATATTACTTGCTCCTCTTTTTATTTAATCGCATTGTTTGTTTTGGTATTATGAAATGGTTGAACTAAACCAATTTATTTATTTTGGTGCAAATAGTGTTTTACATAAACCAATTTGTTAGAAATTTCCAAGGAATTCATAATATGCAACAATGTGATGAATTTGTATGGCAAAAAGAAGCATATGTAAGGCAATTATGAACGAAGTTATATAATTTAGCTTGAAATTAGAGTCTTTTGTTTTCCTTTTACAATTTCTGATGTATGTGGATTATGGAGGAAACTCTCATTCATTAAGAGTCAAATCAACAAACATCAGGGTATTCAATTTGTTATTCGCGGTACCATATGCCCCATAAGCCTCTAATCGCTTGCTGTATAGGCTGTCTGTCCTTCGTAGTGAATACAGGACAGGAATCTTGTTAGTCTGTAGAAATTGGAATTTATAGCCCCTCGTTCTCAAATGATATCATATGTAAAACATCAATTGCTGATTTGCTTTTGCTATGGTGAATTTGTTTTAAAATTTTGTAATGTTTATGAGCAGCTGGTCTTAAATTTTTGTTATGTTTATAGTATCCCTTTTCAAAATTTTGTTTTCCAGGAGCAACAAGTGGTATTGGAGCAGAAACTGCCCGTGTGCTTGCATTGCGTGGTGTTCATGTTATAATGGCAGTAAGGAATATGGCTGCGGCTAGGGACGTGAAAGAAGTAATGGAAAGAGATATCCCATCTGCGAAAATTGATGCTATGGAACTAGACCTCAGCTCTATGGCTTCTGTTAGAAAATTTGCTTCAGAATTTAACTCTTCAGGTCTTCCACTTAATCTGCTTATGTAAGTCCAACTGATGATATAGCTGAAAGGATAGTGTGATAAGTCGGGCCTTTTTCTCCTTTTAGATTACCATTTAAACTGTGAAATTGAGACACTGACTAGGAGTAGGCTTTAAAGCATGCTTGACTTATTTATTCCTCTACCTTACCCTTGTTTATTCGGCATTGATTCAGCCTAACCTACTTGTATACCAGTATATAGCTAGAAGAAATAATCTAGATGTGTTCATTGCCAAAAATAATAGAAACCCTTAGATGAAATGATGCTTTCATATCAGAGATATCCTTCTAGGTGGGTCAGTTGAATTTTGGAGTCTGTTTAAATGCAAATATAATACAGATACAGAACTGACAACAGTGTAGGATCTACCTTATCTGCATGCAAATAGATAAGGCACAAGGATCCACAACCATCTTACTGGTGCATCATGAATTTGTCTTGGCCTCATTGCACTTTCCATCATGAATAAGAGTTTTCATATTGCAGAATAGATATGTTTAATGTTTCCCTTATATATTGGTTCTTGTTTTCTATTTGGACTAACACTCACAGATAATCAGTCTTCCTTTACTTTTTTATTTTTAATCTTTCCTTTTCCTGTCTTCAAGTAACAATGCTGGCATAATGGCTACCCCTTTCATGCTTTCCAAGGACGGGATTGAGTTACAATTTGCCACCAACCATTTAGGTAAGGCAACATATCCATTAATGATAGTTGGCTTGGATTGGGTAAATTTTGATTATTTTGATCTTGACAGACTGCTTATAACTATAGATTCTTGAAATGTCAGTCACAGATTGGAAAATTATCACTATCTTTCTGGTTTTTAAATAATTTTTTCTATTGAACATACATGTATATTACTATCTTAGCACATTTGACTCTTGAATATTATTGATCTTCTTCTCTTGGCCTGTCATTCAATAAGCTTACTTTCAGTCCTGGTAATATCTTCAATAGGTGTAATCTGTAATAAATCCATCTTGCAGGACACTTTCTTTTGACAAATTTATTGCTTGAGAGAATGAAAAGGACTGCACTAGATAGCAATAGAGAAGGAAGGATTATAAATGTGTCATCACGACGCCACCAGCTATCATATCCTGAAGGAATTCGTTTTGGCAAAATAAATGACCCCACAGGGTACATTTTGTCAGAATATGATTCAATTGTATTTGTAATAGGGGTTTTTTTTTTAGATCTGATTTGATGAAGGCTTGGTGTACATTTTTACGATTCATTCAAACACACACATAACTATACGTCTATACTAGCATATTAGATTTACCGAAAACTAACTACTCCGTAGCAACCTAAAATATCATTATGCCCCATTTCTCATTGTGAAATTTCTCTGTGATCATTCACAGGTATCACAGCTTATCTGCCTATGGTCAGTCAAAGCTTGCAAATGTTTTGCATGCTAATGAACTTGCTAGGCGTTTAAAGGTGCGTAGTTGTAGCTGCAGATAAACACGTAAGATATACTATCACAAAAAGAGATCTTATAATTACAGCCTCTTGAATACATGATCAAATATGGTCATTTATCTATTATAATCTAGCCATTTGCCCATTTCTTAGGGGTTTTTGGTTCCCCTTGACATAGCATGTCTTGGGTAATTTTTTTACACCTTTGAGCTATATTGATACAATGTTGTCAAGATGTGAGCTCTCCAATACTATAATAAAAGGAATTGTCAGAGTGAGATGATTGTAATAATGTCATTTGGAAGTCTTTCATGTGACACTACTTTGTTGTGCAGGAAGATGGGGTGGAGATAACAGCCAATTCAGTTCACCCAGGAGTTGTTGACACTGATATTTTTCGCCATCACAGCCTTTTTAGAGGTAACAGATTTTGCTCCATTGGTGATCTGTTGATTGAAATTTGGTAATTCACTAGCTCAAAATTTTCTTAGTATTCAATATTCATCGAGGCCATATTAGAGAAATCGTATCTCCGTGAATATGGTGTTAGGGGTCATACTCCTATTGCCTTTTTATCCCTTCTGTGTTTTCCCCAAATTCTGTTATTCTTGTGGTATGATCCAAACCTCTTTTGAATTCTTGAATCCTACAGTGCAAGATCATCATTTGATGTATTTATACCTTTTTTCTTCTCTATCTGTGCAGGTCTAGTTAATCTCGTTGGCCAATTAATTGTCAAAAGTGTACAACAGGTAAATGCTGAATTCACATTCCTTATGTACAGGAACAGCTAGTTAGCAAATTGTTTTGTAGTTGGCAAGGAAGCATACACATGTATCAGTTGGATTCATTTCGCAGGGTGCAGCAACAACATGCTATGTAGCATTACACCCCAACGTGAAAGGGGTTTGTGGAAAATATTTTGGTGATTGTGATATAACCAAAGCAAGTTCACAGAGTAACGATGCTGATCTAGCAAGGAAATTGTGGGATTTCAGCACAGATCTTGTCAAGTGAATTACCTTGTATAGAGAGTACTAATTGAAAGTGGTAACTAGGTGTTTTAAAGGAGAGGTGTATCTCATGATGACTCTTTTTTTCTTGTGTACCTTTAATAGATTTTGTCATAGCTTGCAAGGGCAGTATACAATACATCATACTCATATATACTTAAGCAGGTAGTTTGGGTTAGACATTTTACAGTTCAATATTAAAAGTAATCAACAATAGTCTTTGCAACCAAATCAACTTTGTTTACACTAATACCTGGTGGAAATTGTCGGGTCACAAGTATATAATAATAAGATAAAAAAAAATGGTTGTTTTTTAGAAATATTAGTTAGTTTAAAAAATATACTTATATATATTAAAAAAAAATACGACTCAAATTAGTTAACTAGCCTAACATCGGCTCTAAACAGGCCAAGCATATTTCAGTATTGTGGATACTGGGTAGCATCATCATTGGCACACACGCAATAGACTTGGTTCATCAGCTTAGAAGAGCCACAGAAACGTTTCTTTCATCAAATATGACTGCTGTCAAAAGTAAATTACAGTCTGAATAAGTACATTTCTGTACTAATTTAGTAAATGTACATAAACACGGTAACAACATTACTACATAATAATATATGGACAATTACATCAGAGCGGGTATAAACGGGCTCCAAAGAGACTGAAATCCCTTGGCTAAACAAATTCTGAAATGCCTGACTCCCTGGCTGTATATCCAAATTAGGCTCCTGTACAACATAAACTAAACCATACAAAATCCCAGCTTGATTCTAACTTGTCTGAGATGACCAAGAAAAACGCAGGTCCATCCAAAACTTTGAAACCTCTTTAGAACTGCAGGACATAACTTTTGTTGAGCTGATTTTAGAAGTCTTGTAGATTTAATGATTCTACAACAGATCAGAGTTCTGAATTTGTACAAGGCATGACAGCTTACTTTGCCATGCACCAATCACCTCCCATATCTAAATTTTCATTAGCAAAGCCAAGTTGAGCTGCAAATCCCGAGCTGTGATGTTGCCACCAATGCAGATTAATCCACAACATTTGCATTGAAGCTGAGGAACTTGCCAGAACAAGGGGCAGAAGATTATCTGAGCCATATCATTTCTAAAAGATCAATCCCAGTTTCAAACATCACCCGAACTCTGTTCCTCATTTTCCCTTTCAAAAATCTTAAGGCCAAAACAATAGAATTATTCGGTATCTAGGGGCAAATGAAACTACAGGCCATGAGTTCGACTAGGCAATGTTGAGCGGGGACTAAATTCAACAGAAGGATTTAGCTTTACATGCTCCCGCAAGAGCTGCTTGGATACACGATCAGCCAACACCGTGCGTCCATTAAATGGGTTCCCTTGATAGGGTCTTTCTCTTTCGACCTGCTTTATACGGATTTCATTTTCAGAACTCACTAATGTTAAACCATGGGGTCCAGATTGCATCCCTCGAAGAATATTTGGGCTTGGATCATATGGCCCGTTGAGGAAAACACTGTTTGGAGATTTAGGCAATGCACCGAAACCCTCTTGCATATCATGAGACTGATTTGAATGGTGATATGGAATAGCACCACTAGCACCAGTGAGGGGAGTTGATGAGCCCGACGTAGTACGAGGGCTGGATATAGGAGAAGGTGACATCATACCATTCAGGTGCTGAGGTGACCTTGGATGCAACAGTGGGCTACCAATTGGTGAAACGGGACAAGATATGTTCCGCGGAATGTGATACTCACTAAGAACACAAACAATTAAAAAAAAAGGACCAAAATCAGATCATAATATTACATGCATCATAATATTAAGTAATACTTACTCTCTTTTTTTCCCACGATCGTGGAGAAAAAAAGATTCAGTTGGCGTCAGTACTCAGTACATAAAAATTGACCAACTGCATGAGCAGAAGTTTAAGAAAAAAGAGTTCAAATGAAACCTGGAGCGAGGTCGCGCTGGTGAAACCCTGGATGAATGAACAGCAAGTCTTTCTGAGTCCAAGCTGGAAAGATTCCTCTCAAGTCCAACCCCCTGAAGATGATATATGTGACAAAAGATGAAACTGAGGTCATTGTAGAATATGTGGATCCACTACATTATTTTAAAAAGCAATAAAGATGTCTGTAATAGGGTCCACAGGGAGACACCATCTATCCAATAAAGAGAGCCAACCATCCATGCTAAAATGCACAATCTCTACGAGATGTCCATCAGAAATAAAAATTTAATAAAATAAGAAACAAATAAGGAAAAAAAAAAAAAGAAAAAAGAGGGGTGGTGCAGGAATTTCAATCATTTTATGGCAATTTGGATCAGCGAAGGCAGAACATCTAAATAAATGGAAAGGACTAGATAACGACATAGAAAATAATACATACCAAAGACCTCATCCCATTTGAAGCACTAATTGGAGTGTCAGTTGGCTCAGGACTTGGAATAGGCCTCTCCAGAGGAACAGTATTCTTGACAAATGGGTGCTCAAGTAGCTGAGCCGCTGTGCAACGCTGTTGTGGATCTCGCTGCAAACAGAGCTTCACAAAATCTTTTCCTTCATCAGATAAATGATCCGGAATAGCTGGTAACTCTTTGCTGTTACCAATTTTGAACATAGCAGCAACCTGCAAAAATCAGCATCATGTCAATGCAAAGGACACATATACACATTAGTGTTATATGACAAACTGACACAGATGATGATCATATATAACCCACAAAAAGAATGGAAGCATTATTAAAAAATAATAATAAATAAATAAATAATTGGTGAAGATAACAGCTTCAAAACAGATTTGATTTGTAAGATCTGACACAGATTAATACAACCATGTTGGCATCCAGGGAAGGGTATAACATACCTGGAGTATGCAGTGAAAACATGTGAATTTTCATAAGCAAAAGGCGTGGTTACAAAACTGAAACTCATAATCTAGATCCCACAACAAGCACCCAAAATATATCATAAACAGTTACAGAGTTAAGGCATTGATGAAGATATTAAGAACATGAGAACCATCAATTGAAGCTTAGCTTAAAGACTAGGGTAGTTTCAAATAACAGACCCAAAACTGAGCATTGAACATACTCCAAACCACCCATCAAGGTCCTCGTTAATTGTCATAAGTGATTTTAACAAAAAAAAAGATATATAACAGGATTTTATTTGAATATCAACTTTGTATAACTTAATTATAAAAGCACAGACCCCTTCATATTGACTCCAAGGTGGTTTGGTTGTTGCCATTTCCAAGACTGTACAGCCAAGGCTCCATATGTCAACAGCAAGGTTGCAACCATTTGAATTTTTTATAACCTGCATTTAAAAAAAAGAAAAGCTGAGAACACAACGGGAAAACAGCTGAAGTTATGGTTGGAGATCACATTCAGATGCTAACCTCTGGTGCCATCCAGTATGGGCTTCCCTTGAATGACAATGGGCACGACTGTCCAGTGATCTGGAAAAACAATCATAAAAAGGGTTTTTAAATTTCTGACTTTCCTTGGAAACAAAGGTGATCTGAACAACCCTGAATCAACCTAATATCTCTTATCTATATTTTTCATGGAATATCCAAAGTGGATACAGTACTTACATGCTTTGCCATACCAAAATCTGCCAACTTAACACGACCATTGGGGTCAACAAGTATATTTGCACCTTTGATATCCCTGAATAAGACAAGGTAAACATAAATAACATAAACTCTTTCCTCCACTGAAATTGCAAAACAGAACTTCATGATACAGAATAGTATCAGACAACTTAAAACATTCGTCTAACAGATTTCACCTATGAACAGTGTTTTTTCCATGGAGGAATGCAAGCCCGGATAGTATTTGTTGGGTATAACTACGTATTGCAAGTTCACCAAGCTGTCCATATTCTTGTAAAAGCTTATAGATAGACCCACCAGACACAAATTCCAAGTATATATACAATTTATCATCAACCTGTAAAAAAATAAAATTAAAAGGTTTTATGAAAATGAAACAATAAAGAAATGGTAAAAGTAAATGCTTATAGAGTCATAGTATCTATATCCTCGTTGCATAAAGCTATACCTAAAAAGGCAAAAAAAAAAAAAAAAAAAAAAAAAAGGTATCTACAATTAATGCAAAAATGAAGGGAAAAACAAGTGTACGCTCTATAAAATCTAAGAAAACATCTCAGACTTACAGTTTCTGAACCATAATACTGCACAATATTTGGATGTCTAAGACGCCCCAACAAAGCAATTTCCTGCACAAGTGGTGAAAACATTTATATTAGCAGATAGTCACGTTTTTATTATATACAGGCATACATTAAGAACGGATAGCGGCAGCATACAACTTACAAAATCAAGGGAATACAACAAATGGTGGAAATACTGGCAAAGTTTCAAAGTTGACAGCCCAGCATAACAATCTAACACTTATTCACACTTTACATATTACGTAAAAATTAAATAAACAAATAAATCACATTACAGTGAACCTAGCATAATAACCTGAAACCCAGTCCACACAGCACAATTATTCCAGTTTTTTGCACTTTCCTGCACATTTTGCGATAGTTTCACACTTAATTATAGATTTTGTGGGTTCAAATTATTTAGGTAATATAACCATTTGGTGCGCCATTAAGCACACCTGTGATGTGCCAGAGATCTTCTTGCTCTTAAGTATTTGAACAAATCTCAGACAAGGGGAAGAAGCTTATGGAAGTAGGCTCACATGAACAGCCACCTAAAGCATCGTACAAACTAGAGATTCCAATTGCACCAAATAAAAATAAATGATGAGTTGATGACCCGTATACTTCGTATTAAGCAAGAAAATAAAACCTCTGTGGCTTGTTCATGCACATTTTCAATGCAGCAAAATACTCCAAGGCTACAATGGGAGAGGAGGCCAAATACCTGTTGAAGCTGCTTTGCACTTTCCTTCGACTTTGGATCATCAGAAAATAGTGTAACCTCCTTCATGGCACACATTTCACCCGTTTCACTAAGTCACACATATAAATGACTTAATCAGGATATTGTCCTCAATATGTCCATCAATTAATGAATATATATAAAAATAAATAAATAAATAAATAAAATAAATAAAAAAAAAAACGATAATTTAGAATGGTAACCACCTATTAAACCCAAGATATACATGTCCAAATGTTCCTCTACCAAGTAACCTCCCCTTTTTCCAGCGTGAAGTGGGGCTCGGAAGATTCTCTCCTCTAGCTGGGCTTCTTGGAACAGAGGGAGATGTGGCTGCTGAATTTCCATGGGAGAATGGAGAAGGAATTGGAATGGTTACAGGAGGAAGAGGCAAACGATGACTCTGTTGTTTTCCATCATCACCCCAGCTTGCATGCATTTCAGATCCCGAACCTACAGCTCTTGGATGAATAGGAGTCACAGCACCACTTTGAACTCTAGAACTTGGCCCTGGGCTAGTCATTCTGGGACTAGGTATTGGAGAATACTCTGGACTGCCTCTGCTTGGTTGTTGCCAAAACAGCTGACCTGATATATCCCCTCCCATAGAATTATGGCCAGAGTTGTGGCCTGAACCTGGACTAGAGCAGTGACCGGATCCAAGTAAAATAACATCAGGGTAAGGTTTACTAGCCCAGAAGGCAGCATTCAACACTTGCTCAGAATTGGGAGTTCTTATTGGGCTTCTGGAAGGACTAGACATCGAGCTGTCAGGAGCACTACAAAAAGCACCATGTGGGGGAACCTGCAAATTGGGCACACCCAAAGGCCTTCTTCTTCTTGGGACAGCACTCGTACTTTGATTGCTCAATGAAATACTAACAGGTCTTTGTGCTTCTACATGATCAATTTGAGGATTTTGAGCAGCTTTGAATGATTGATCCTTGTGCGCACTAGGAAAAAGAAAAACAGTAAATCAAATTGTCAGTTTTCTTTTATATATGTCTTCGTTCAAAAACCCTGGAACAAAGAGAAAAGAATGCCAAAGAAAATCCATAACAAAGGCATCAACGAAGGGAACAGATAAAGTTCATCCTCACCTAGAAGGGCTTCCAGCAGTTGCTCTTGCCCCAATGTCAAGGTCCAATGCTTGGGGACTACATAGCCGCGACTCAGGTCCACTTTCTACAGAGCTCGCACTCGAAACAGAAGCAGTAACCAAATCACTGTCCAACTCTGCAGGATCTGCCCTGCTCCTAATGCAGGAAGGTCTTGGAAGAGGGAGAAATAATGATGACTTGGAGCTCTTTTCTATTCTTGGTTTTGATGACAAACTAATTCCAGAGTCAGTGCGACTTACATGTGCAGGATGCAGACCAGGAAGTGGAAGTGGCTGGGCATGAGGCCTTTCAGCAAAACTTTGACACCTCCCAACATGTTTAGATTCTTTCGAAGGTGAAGGGGATCTGGACTCCGCCCTAGATTGAGCACCCCTCTCTGAAACTGTATCGATGCAATGTCGACGAGATGCTCCTGAGCTACCATCTAATTTCACATCAGATAAATTTCTGAATTTCCGTCGTATTGCATCAAGGATTGTTTCATCACCAGACTTTTTCTTTGCTTCTTTAGATGATGTCTTCCCCCACCATGAAGGCATAGCTTTGTTTTCAATTAACTAACTAAACCAAGTCAAGGGAAGATTCTCTGGTAACAAGTCCAGTCCAAGTTCATCAAGTTATACAAGTATAAGTTATCATAGTACGTCAACACAATTAATTTTGAGCACCAACATAAACCTCCATAAACACTTCAAGTTGCAGCATTGTTACCGATGGTTGTATTAACTGGATTTGAGTACAAAGTAGAAACAATTTCAAAAGATCACCTGGAAATAATGGGGGGAATAATAGATCAATGACAAACTTCCTTGCTAATGTGGAATACAATTCAGTAATGCAGTTACAATACACACTGCTTGCAAATTAAAAAGAAAATATACTAGATCAAACCAATCAGTAATCAACCCTACTATCAAACCGCAAAATTTGGTGAACATGATTTATGCAAAGACATGGACTATTGATAAAGCTAAAATGAGGAGTGACATTAATATAACTCTTTCCCGATATATCATTCAAAACTTGTTTATCCATTGTCCAAAAATGAAAGAAGCTACCATACTGCTTCTCTCAAAAACAAAACTTAAATTCCATTCATCAACTCACTATATTCTCTATCAACAGGCCAATGGACATCTTAACCAGGCACATATTACTATTTCAAGGTCAAGACTATCGATATTCCGTAAGGTAGTGATAGGTTCACACCTACAAATTTAACTAGACAAACCCAAGAAATGGTAACTCTAATATTCCTAGAATGGAATCAAGAGTACACTAACAGGAGATCCTCTCCCAAAATGCCTCCCATTAAGTTAGAGATATTCCAAAACTGCTGCCAAATAGTCCACATAAGTACATAACACATAAATACCCACAAGTGTTCTTAGAGATGGAATGATCAACTTATCATCCTTCGGCAAATCCCAAATCGACACCCACCCGAAACCCGGGGTAAGGGAGATGGGGTGGGACGGGAAAGCTTTACTAGTTTACTCTCCTTGAAGAGTTCAAGGGTTCTGCGTCACCATATGTGCTGAAAAATTAAAACTTGACTAATTCCACAATTTCGACCCATAACAAATTAACTAAATTCAAAGTTAGGCTAGATTTCTTCAATTATTTCAAGTCCATTGTCAACTCCAATTAATTTTGAAACCAGGTCTCCGATATACCATTCCATAAAAAAATAATTAAAAATAAAAACCTAATCATTGTAAGAATCTAAAGTTCCTAGAACGTCAAAGACAGTCTTCAAATTTTCCAAACTTATCCAATACTTAAATAAACAAAATTATACGAGTAACTAAAACTACCCAGAAAATTAAAACCAAATTTAAATAGAATTTCAACATTGAACACTCAAATTATAGCATTTCATGTATATAATAAGCTCGATCTGAACACTCCCAGAAATAAAAACAGATCCAAAATCAAACAGCAGTAAATTGAACTAACCAAAAATCAGCACCAAATTGACGACGAATCTCAATCATTCCATTTCCTTAGCTTCAACAAAAACTAACTAAAGCAGTAAACTTTTCAAGTCGAAAATTCAAGCAAAATTGTCCACCATTAAAGGCGTTACACTGAAGCAAAAAATAATAATAATAAAAAAGAATTATTAAAAAAAAAATTGTATAACCTGAGAAATCAAGGGTTACAAACCTAGTTGATAAGACTAAAAATTAATTGATTAAACTGAAAAGGGTGTAAATTGAACTGGAAATTCAGCGGAAAATGAAAAATGAAACCCTAGAAATCTTTAGCCAAAAAAATGTAAAATTATAAATTCGGGAAGAAGAAAAAAACTAAAAGAGAGCAAAAGGATTGACAGATGTAGAGAATATGATAGAATTTAGAGTGTTTTAGAGAGAGAAAATGAGAAAAGAGGAGAGAGAAAGTGAGTGTTGCGTTGTTTTGTGTCTCCTTCCTTGAGCAATGGAAGTTTTTGTCTGAGCGTTGATTTTCCGCTTTTATTTTGTTTTTTTTTTATATTAATTTTTTTTCATAATTAAGTTTTGATATAGTCAAGCTCATCAAATCTTTTCTTCTCATTACCAAAAAAAACATTGATTTTTTAATTTGGGTCCCCTAGATGTCATAAGCAAATGCTTTGGAGGAGAAATGATGTGACTACAAATTTTAAATGGAAATTGTTGATTTATACATGGAGTATTTAAGTGTGTTTAAGGAGTGATACGGTATCTGATCCGAACATGAAAATTCGCAGATGTTTTATATTTAGCAGTTTTTTGGGTTGTGTATTTCGTGGGTAACAAGTCAATTTGGCGTTTCAAAATGAAAATTGTTAAGTATGGTTGATCTATAACCGACTAGTTAATGAATTGAATACATAGGTAGAAAACTACTTAATCATTAGGAAAACAACAGATACAATTTAATATATTGGGTTCGAACCAAAGTGAGACCTTCATGGTTATTGGCTTAAACCTAACATGCAATTTTATGAGTGAAAATAGAATTGATCTTGGATAGGATAGTCAAAATTATTGTATTAAACTAGTTCATATTATATAAGAAAATTCCAATAACAAATATAGTCAATGGTACAGACAACGGTGCCTACATGCGAATTTGCTTCCGAGGTTGAGCAGTCTCAATTAATTGACTGTTGGTCCATAGAAATTAAACGTTGGTTGAGCCTCCTTAAATGGCCTGAGATGCATGCAGGGAGATCCACGAGTATGTGCGTTTTTTTAGAGGATATAGTTGAAAGATAGCTCGTGCCCAACCTATTTTAGGGAATCAGCCAAGAGGTGTCCCAAAGTCTTATTAGAACGCAGGATTGGAGCTTTCCAGTTTGGCAAGCGTCTTATTATTTGTTTCGGAGACGTTTTGGTGGAAACCAAAAATTTTAAGTGAATAGAAAAGTTATTTTTTACGAGAAGTATAGGACGTAATTGACATTTTAAAGGAACATATCTAACAAATGCCACATGGTAACGTAACACTTGCATTTACAAGAGATTGCCAATAATAATAATAATAAATAAATAAATAAATATATAAAAATTCATTTTGACCACAAAATTAAATGAATTTTTTCCCCTGATTTTAGAAAACCAAAGTAGTAGGCTAGTTGTAGAATAATTGTATAGTGAATTTGCGCTAAGAATAATGTTCATTAACATCTATAGCACACTTGTTAAAAGAAAGAAAATAATAATAATAATAAATCTATAGCACAATCTCACACATAAAGCGTTAATGTCAATTAAGAGAAACATAAAACATGTCGATTCTATAATTAGCACAAGAGATATGTTTTTTGTTGTATCCCATATATTGTCCTAAGTCATCTTGATCGTCCCTTGCATCCAACTCTCAAATATTGTCCTAAGTCATCTTGATCTTCCCTAGCTTGCATCCAACTAACTCTCAATGTTTGACAAAAAATACAAGGTTAGACTTTAGCGTCACATGGAAAAAAGACACATGATAAGAGGGTGACAATATAGTTGGATTCACTCGATCATGAAGGAAAAAAAAACTATCAATACATTACATCATCAATTTTATAATAAGTGATGTATAAAGAGTATACCTCAGCTATTATTCAATACAACTATATTAAAGTAGAAATAATTATATTAGCATTAGTTTCCAAAAGACCAAAAGCGAATTAGACGGCTGTTATTTTTACATAAAAAAAGTTTGACTAAGTGCATGCACTAAACTGATGTAGTTATGTACTATATATCAATTATTTGTAAGTCTTTCTTTCTTTGATATTTCTATAAGTAAGATCTTAGAACTTTCTTTGAAGATGTTGGCAATGACGACTATATATTTCATTTTTGTATTTTGGTGCAATGTCAAATTTAGATTGTTTCACGATAATACTTCGCACCGAAGTATATGGTTTACAATTAGTCTATATCATTAATTCATTATCTTTTGTGCCTCTTCATTTTATGGGAACAATAAGAAAAAAAAAAATTGTAAAAAATTACTCCATATCATATAAATTGTTGTTGGACTCAACACTGTGCTCTTCTCATGTCATTTTATTAAGAAATAAAAGTTAAATTAAGGAATACCAAGACTATCTAAGTTAAAAACAACAAAAACATATTCGAGATAGGGCGGTAGATGATGAGAATCTATCCCATAAATTTCTGGAATCGAAAGAAAGCTCTGACCCCTTGTGCTATTCCTCACTCTCTGAATTGTAAGTTTTTTTTTTTTTTAATTTAATCTAATTTGTAACTTATTTGAATGGACTTTTTTTTTAAAAGGATGAATAGAACACACCAATTATATTACTTCAAGATAAGTTAAGTTTATATAATAAAACAAAAAATAAGAGCAAATTGATCTTTGTTAACAAAAAAAATTATCTAATTTTTATTTTAATTTTTTAATTTAACAAAAAAACTTATCTTATTAACAAAGACTAGTTGGGCATGCATGAATGCATGTGGACTCACGGAGTACATACGCAACTCGGAATCCATATATGGGCCTTATAAATGGGCTGCAAAGGACTTTATGCAACATCATAAGAGTATATTATCATGCTTCTTTTTTTTTCTTTTTTCTTTTTTTTTTAAATGTATTATAATATTCTGAAATGAAAATTTGATTCTGTCAAAAAAATAAATTAATGTGAAAATTTGATTTTTAAATCAAGAAGTCATGATTAATTAGTATATTACGATTAATAAATTAACTAACCTAATAGCGAAATTATCTTTCTTCTTAAACGATGTTTCTCGTGCATTAACACAAGTTTTAAATGATACAAGAGCTTAAAAACCATTCTTTGAAGGGAATGAAGCCATCCATTATCCTTAATTTTTGTACAAATAATTGATACATAACTGTGTTACAAAACTGAGTAATGAGACTAATGACTCAAATGAGACAAGTCCTATAACAAGCAGGTACTAATGTACTATATACAACTCTTTTGTACACGATTTCGTATCATAGGCACATAGAATAGTTCATCCTTCTTTGAAATTGCATTGATAGAGAGAGTTTTGTTGTGTAAAGTTACAAAGTTGAAGAACTAATAGCATCAACCTCTGATCAGAATCAAGCCAATAGCTGTGACAACAAGTGTGGATGGAACTCCAAATTTAAGGTGTCTCCAGAAAGTGAGATTGTATCCCAAATAAGGGGCTTGTCGAGCCTGTTCGCACACGATTAAGTTGGCTGCTGATCCTAGGAGAGACAAGTTTCCTGCCACAGTGCTTACCCAAGCTAAGATCAGCCATGCTTTTCTTTCTTCTGATGCAGATATTGCTGCCGCAGATGCTGCTACTTGTCCTCCTAGCAACAGAACTGTAAACAATATACAGTATTATGAATAACTCGAACCACATTCTTATCTAAAATGCTATCTATACATAATACATGCCCTGCAGGGTTCACAACAAGGCATTCACACAATCAAGGATGCTATATTAGTATGCATATGTGAAATAATCATGTAGAAACGGAAATTTTCTGAGCAGTCTGCATCAGATTTATACTGTGAATCTGTGATCTAAGCTCGTTCAGTTTGTGACTTTTGTCAATAACAACGTAAGATTGACAGACTGCAATTTGCGAGTAGATAATTTGAGCAACAATTCACAATTGTCATTTATTTCACAGATAATAATACTAAAAATTCGAAAGCAAAATAAAAACACAGGCTGATGGAGAATAAGAAGCTTAAATAAACTAAAGGTTTCTGCAGGTAAAGGCTAGTCAAGAAAAGTTAGACAACCACGCTGTCATTACAGCTTGTGTTATAGCATTATGTCGTGTTTAGGAAATACTCAGATAGGATTATGACGTTTAATGAGCTCTAACAACAAACTATTATAGCTTATGTTACTATGCTAAGTTGCTGAATACAACCAAAGGTCTATTCCTCCAACTCGATGATCTTAACCACGTATGAATCACCAAGCTTTTGGCATATGACAACTTGATCATGTGATTTAATGATTCCCAGTGCCTTCCCATGTTCTGTTGCAGCCTTCAAGACAGTTTCGTTGGTCGCACTAGTTGAGTCAGCTGGGTGTCCAGGATCAGCAAGCATGGGGAAAAGGCCTCTAACTATCAATGACTGCCTTGCTTCAAAGAGACCAGTAATACTCCATTTTAGTTGTTTGGTCTTAACACGAGGGATCACAACAGAGAGAATTGGCATTGGTGGCCGATATTTTGCAAGCAACCTTGCAGCCTTCCCAGAAGAAGTGAAGCAGATGATCACAGACGCCTTTGCCTTGATGGCAGCACTCACTGCAGAACCACTGATGGATTCAAGGTGAGACATTGTCTCTCCTGCATACTTAAAAGCTTTCTTGAAGTATCGTTCTTGATTGAAAACCTTTTCAGCCTCAAAACAAATCCTGTCAACAGTTCTAACAGCATCAACAGGATATAAACCTCGGTGTGTCTCAGCTCCAAGAAGAATTGCATCACTACCATCTAATACAGCATTAGCAACATCAGTTGCCTCAGCACGCGTAGGTCTGAGGTTATTGGTCATACTATCAACAACACTAGTAACAACTGCAGGCTTCCCTGCCATATTGCATTTGTGTATAGCAGCTTTCTGAAACAAGAAAACCTTATGAGGAGGAAGATCTATGCCTAAGTTACCGCGAGAAAGAACAATTCCATCTGCTTCTTGTAGTATTTCATCAAAATGTGTCAAACCCTCTACATTATCAATCTTGGCATATATCTGAGTCTGACTGAGATCACCTAAACTCGATAAAAGATCCCGTGCTTGGCGAACATCTTCTGCATGACGAGTATATGACAGTGAAAGAATGTCGATCTTGTTTTGGACACCCCAAGTTCTTATAACCTCCTTATCCTTCTCTGACAAAGTAGGCTTATCAATACGAACTTGTGAAGCGTGCAAAGTAAAGAGAGTTCCATCCAATGTTGCAGAATTATTGATCACACATACCACATCATCCCCTTTCACCTCAGATACCTGCAGCCAAACAGATGTAGTTTCGCTTCCATTGAACAAATATTTACCAATAAAGATCATATCTCCCTTCTTCACCGCCTTTGCGAGTCCATTAAAGTTTATAGGCAACAGTTCCGAGGAGGCTTCTGTTCCGAGATCAGGCATAAGTGTAACAGCATTGTTTTCCTCAAGAGAGATTTCTTTCCCAGTCTTGTTAATAATTTGCAACTCAGGCCCAACTGTCTCGAGCATGACAGCACAGAGTTTGTTAGTAGTCCTAGCAGCGGCCTTTAAATTCTCAAGAGTCTTACGATGAGTATCCGCGTCTCCCCATGAAAAATCAAATCTTGCCACTGACATCCCAGCCTTTAGCAAACTGGAGATAACTTCAACAGATTCGGACCGTGGACCAAGAGTTCCTACAATCTTTGTCAATGCAGGGAAAAACGAAGATTTCGATGGCTCGAGAATTGATGCCATCCTGATAGGCTCTTCAAGGAGAAAATTGGCGGAAGGCATGATTGAGAGAGAAAGGGGTCTGTGGGAGAAGGGAAAAACGGCCTAGGTTTTTTTTATGAAATAATATCTCTTGCTTATGGAGTAATATTTATAGGATTAAGAGCATAGGTTACAAACGGTACTATAGCTTGGAAAATAAGGCCTATACTTTCCTAAACGGCTAAACCTACTAGAAATCTAATACTTCGTATATATTATACTTCTTAAACAAGATATAAATCTTCGTATATATGGAAAGTATTTTATATTTTCCAATCCTAATATCTCTGATATGACCGCATTAAAAGGGTGCACTTATTATTTAGGGACGGAGAGAGTAATTAAAGATCTGACCATCCGAAGCACAGCCAGAATTCAAGAACAGAAAACTATGTGAATCTGTGATGCTTCTGCTCCAAGAATAGTTACCGAAAACTCAATAAGGATGCAGTGTAACCCTTTGCTTATGCTAGAAACTTAACCTAACCCTAGTAGTGGGATTTTTTTACTAGCAATTTCACAAGATTCAAATTTTAAAACAAATATGAGAACAAGTAGAAAGTCATACCAGTTGGAACATTTGATACTAAGTTTGAGAGGACTAGAATGACCAGTGCGAGAACTGCAATTCCACCAACACGATCAACCTGAGAATGCGGCTCCATAATGTCCCATACTTTGCCAGGAATGCCTGTCTTGTTGAATCCATCAACCGTGATGAACATTCCACAAAAGAATATCAGAAGTGAATATGAGACCTGGTTGAGAAGTTAGAAACAGGTCAGAATGCAACCTACAAATTTCAGTTAAAATTCACTCCAATAGCTAAGAGTCCGTGCAAACTTGAATTTAGAAATTGTAACCTTCTCTAGTGAGGGGCGAGCATCCTTGAAATCAAGAACTACAAGAGCCAGTGCAGCAGTGATCGCAGTCCACGACATATTTAAACCACAGAGCAGAGCAATTAGCATGCCTAAGGTAACAAGATAAACACATATCTTCCAAATCGTGTGCTTCCACTTTTCACTAACTACTTTCCCACTTAAGAACAGCTTCAGTTGTGTAATGAACTCTCCCTTTACTGTTTCAGGAGTCTCAGCTTGGATTGTTTCATCGACCACCATGTCCTTAGATGCATCTGACATTCTTGAAGACTCGAAACTGTGAAATTCAGTATCAGAAGATAACCGATTTCTTAGATTATCTGCATGATCTGAATGTCCTCTTACACTAGGGGAACTATGGTTATCCAATACTATAGAATTGGAAGGAGATAAATGAGACGACATTGTTGCAGGTGAAAATCGATGAGAAGTATATTCTCCTTCATTAACCACCTCAGGAGCAGCATCTTCCTCATCCTTGTGAACTGACAACAGCTTCCAAAACATGCCTAATACGATCAAGGCGTTAACCAAAACACCCACAAGCATAGCCGGTAACAGTCCTACTAAAAACGTTCCGAATGATATCTTACTTAGAACAGCTATAACAAGATTTTGGGGGTTACCAATTGGTGTTGCAGAAGATCCAATATTTGCACTAGAAGCAAGAGCTAGTAAAAAGGGATGAGGGGGCAAATTGTGTTGCCTAGCAATCTTCAATACAAACTCAGTCAGAACTACACAAGCTGTATCATTTGTGAAGAAAGCACTAGAAAGAGCAGATATCAGACAGATTCTGAAAATCAAGTCCTTAGGTCCTCTACTTTTCCATTCAACCAATTTACCCAAGTATTTGAACATATCAGCTCTTTCAAGATAAACACTAACTACCATTGTGCCAAACAGAAGCCCAAGTATCGGAAGATCGATTGCAGCATATGCTTGATCCGGGGTTATAACTCGAAAAATTACCATAAGCATGGCTCCCAGGAGTGTTCCTGCTGTTCTTCCAATGGGTAGAAAAGGGACTGCAGGGAAAACTGCCATTACCCAAAAGACTGCAAAGGCAATTGACCCTAAAACCACCTTGACTGTAGGAGCCAAAGCCATTTTTGCTGATCTAACAAACTCTTGCTACTAACTCTTATCCCCAAATGTTCAAAACATGATGATCACAACTTCTTAGTTCAATTCACAGTTAGCCTGAAAACAGAAAGCAAATTAAAGCACTATATTGGATCATAATCACTCCACATATTAAAGTCAACGTTGTGACATGCAATGCTGACAATCATTGACAGAAATAAGTCTTATAATAATAGTATAGAAGAGAAATCTATGGTATTGGTAATTTCCCAGATTGATTCGTTTCACACACATGAATAATAAAACCGTTAACGAGTCAATATCTGTAACACATTACAATATCAATTCCAGTCAAATTATTACACCATATAACCCTGAAATTCTGAATACACATCTGGGGAAACGTTGCTGCACCATTCAAAATTATTAAAAAAGAAATATGATCTTAGTAACTTGTACAAAGACTTTCTAGCTGAAATTTGAAAAACCAAGAAATACCCAGATCAAAAAATTCAATTTTTTAAAGCAGCAAAACTCAAAGTATTCACAAAGTAGGATTCAACAAAGAATCTCACCTGCAAGTCTGCAACAAAGAAGCCACGCACAAACTAAGTTTTCTCAGACGAACAAAAGTCAACACTATAGTATATTACTCAGTATAAAGTTGGCCAAAATCAATGAAAAGTGATTAATCAGCATTTTATGAAGATAAATTCAACTGAACCTGTGACACTTTCTTTTGATGATTAAATAAATATAGGTTGATTGTTTTATATGGGTGTAACTATAAAATTATACTCACTTTACTTGTGACAGATCTTGTGGTGGGGCAGACCACAGAGAAGAGAGAGAAAGAGGTTGCAATTTTTGCATATTGCATAATCTAAGCCACATGTTCAATGTAAAAAATGGTGAAGCTTGAACATAAGAAGCTACTGATTGAATTGATTACTTTTTTGGGGGGATAAATCCAGATTTGGTTTATTGTTGATTTCAGCAGTTGTAAAAGAAGTCACGCCATTTTGAGAACTGTTAGGTTGTGAATAAGAAAGGGGTGGATAAGGTTTGCAAATTACAGCAATCGGATTTATTACATTGAAAAACAATTCTTTAAACGATTATTTTCTTCTAATAACCCGTGTTTTATTTTTTGGGTAACCCTTTCTTGGACTTTTTGCATACACTTGTATAGTTGTAAACACGTCAATTTCTTTCAAAATTTAGATTAATTTTTGGGATCAAGATAAACCCCCGTCTTTTTCTATCTTGAAATTTTGTGATATACTAATATGGTTCAAGAGTTGTACTTGACTCCCTTCACCATTTTCTTTCAACAAGCAGTAACAAGAGGATTTTGTTTAAGGTTTTGGCAAATCGGCCAAGCCTTGAGCTGATGTCTATTTGTGCTATTTACCCTACTAGATACTACAATCACATAAGCATCTGTGTCACTGTGTGAACGCTAGCTAGTGTCTAGCATTAAGGCCACACCAATGAGTCGAGTTGGCGGCCAACATTATTGAGGCCTAATGAAGCATTAGCAACAAGGCTATAATGCTAAGCTCTTCATAATTATTGTCAATCGCCGTTGTAACTTGTGAAGCATTTGTTGCCGGTGATTATTTGTACCTATTGACTTTGAGCGTTGTCTCGTGGATCATAGATAGCTATCTTTTGGAATGAGACAAGCTATTGTTTTTTTTTTTTGACAGGAGAGACAAGCTATTGTTGAATTATACGGAGTTGAATAAAAGTAAAGAACACGTGTTGCTAAAACTTACATACAAATTCATTGTCATTCTTACTATCTATAACCGCTTATCAATTGGGCATTAGAATCGGGATTATAAACCCTGCTTTTGACCTGTGTATGCAGTATGCACAATTGCACATCATCAGCGTGTTATATGGCTTAATGAACTAAAATGCTCAACCTGCTGATACAGAAATTACTAGCCTAAAGCATAATTAAACAGAAAAAACATAACGTAATTAAAAATGAGGCTCAAGATCAGATTTGCTTGTATCATTTGATACTTGTCAATCTTCATGACTGGAAAAAGACTTGCAGTACAAAACTAGGATCATAATTCATAAAGTCAATTGCTACCTCTTTGGTGAAAAAACAAATACAATCCCAGATATGTCAGCCACTGTTCACTGCCTCTGGATGAAATTATTAACCTGAGGGATTAACACATTCTCAAGGGAGATAGGCTCATAAGCCCCAGCCTATTGCTGCATGAAATTTCTATCGTGCTCACGTTAGAATCCATTTTATTTTTACATCTGATTATACAGTTCAAATCTTTTGCTAAGTAACAAAATGTAATTAAAAAAAAAAAAGGGGTATCAGATTCTAACCCAACACTTGAAATTCTCCAAACTTATCTGACGAGAATAAATTTAATTAAAATAAACAGAAAAGAGCCTTAAAATCTACAGTATCTAAAAGAATAAGTTGAATAAAGACCAACATTTCCAGAAGCACGTTCCGCAGTCACTAGTATAGTTAAAAAAAAAAGATGGGCCAGCTAAATTTTTATTCTCTTTCCAGGATACAGCCTGTAAGTAAAAAGAAACAGTGCATCTGGTCCAGATTCCAGACAGCATAACAAAAGTTGCTAATATCAGACAAAACTCTCAATCCAAATCTAGTGTCATTCATCTAATGTAATGTAAAGGGCTCATTTTCAGTGCAAACTGCAGTTTGAATCTAGCTAATCTCCCTTTCGAATCATACTTTGGGCATGGTCTGCTCCGATCTTTCCTTTGTTATGTAAACCAAGATAAAGGCGTCTGCAACTTTTATTACGACACCTTTTGGCAATTATGCTTATAAGCTACCAACATGCAATTATTGACTTAAAAGTCTTAAACAAACAACCAATACAAATAGCTCGCACTAGGCACTGCCAACTAGTCAAAGAAGCCAACAACAGCCGTTTGGCATTCTATACCTTTCATCTATAGCTTAACTAATTGAAATATTATGAATAATCTATTGCTTAACTAACTGAATTGTGAAAAGAGAATATTGCATGAACAATAGGTTGTCCAACTGAAGTTCATGATGGATTCTCCCTTCACACCTGAAATATTTGTGTGCTAGTTTCAATCAATGAGTTATAAAATTAAATCTGACACTTCAACAGGCTAAAAAACAGATGAGGACATCAGACATGAGATTCGTGAGATTTTTCCCTTGTGTAATTTTATCCATATTCATACCCCGGACATGCATCTTTTTTGTGAGTTGTGACAATCAAACTGTTTGAAAGCATGTGTTTCATTGTGCTGCTGAAGGACAAAAAAGTAGCAAATGAAGACCAGATTTAATACTTAGTCAGGGTAGCATATAACTATGCTGGTAGAATTAGCAGTAGCTATGTAATTGGATTGAATAAAGTTATGATCATTCTCACTGAATGATAAAAATACATACATTTATGAAGTCATGCTAATAACAAAACCCTATTTTATGTATGACATCGGGATAAGTGATACGAAGTAGAATAGGAAATAATTGTAATACCAAAAGAGCACCAACCTATTTATCATGCCTGGAAACATTGTGCAAATGCATCATCCACAGATTCATTGATCAGTGCACCATTATCAGCATTTGTCAGGCTGCAAAAGAACGTATCTTTGTATAAACATTTGACTTGATTCGTTTCTGTTGCTTGACTGTCTGGGATTGTATATTCAGCACTAAATGGAGGACCAGAAAAGTTACAAGCCATGCATTCCGGTGAGAGAATGTCAACTGACTCCTGGCTGAAGCAATGGAAAGAAAGACCAGTTGCTTTGAGCCCCAATTTCCTTCCCAACATTCTCATCAGCCCACCATTCCGAGCTAAGATTTGAATTACCAGTGGATTCTCTGTTCCTACTGTCGAAATTGAATTCTTTAACTGATCCAAGAGAAAGAGAGGATTTCTTGTGTTGACAATCTTTTGTAACATCTGAAGTTGACTCATGGGTTTCACTTAAGACCTCATGAGAACAGAGACAACAATTTTCAACTTTGTGGGAGGCTTCATTAATTCTTGTGTATTGGTCCCTTGTTTTATGCTGACCTTCCGTCACTTTCTTTTCAAAATATGTCGAAACATCTTCCCGGCAAAGCTCAAAGGAAACTCTGTGATCAATGAGAGCCTCGGCAATAGGGGATCCAGTTTCTGAGTTAGCAAGTGATGCCACCTCTGAGATTTGATTTTCCAGAAGTAGACCATCATAGGGTGCAAATCCTGCACCATCTGGAGTAAGAGAACCCGATCCTAGTCTTGAGCCCCATTTACGAGTAGAAAAACTCTTTGAGTCGAACAACTTGGAAGCATCTACCATTCGGAACTCAAGCACTGGACGCCTATCAAAATAAGGAGAAGATGTGCCAGATGCTGAATTTGCCGAGCCAGGAGATATGAGATGATGAACTTCATAGCAGGATAATGCAAGTTTGTGATTAGTCCCACTGTTCCTTTTCGAACGCTTGAGTGATGAGGTGAGCAATTGGGCAAATGGAACTTCAGGTGATGATGGAGTGGTAAACTGCACAGGTTCAGGAGGGGGAGTCACAGCAGCAGTGGATGGCTCAGAGGTAAAAGCAGAAAATACAGGGGGTGAGACTAGTTGAGTCTCATGGGCATAGGGACCAATGGTAAACATATGAGCATTCCCAGAACAGGAAAAGGCATTTGCAGAAAGGGGAGTTACGGTAAGCAATCCACCAGGTGAGTGAGTTGCAGTTGGTGGATCTGATTGCAGAAAAGAAGTTGGAGAGGATGGGGGCGCAATAAACGGAAGTACTATGGAGGTTGAAGGGTTTGGGTTGTCGGTAATGGCCTCTGTACTCTCAGTAACAGTGGGCTCTGGGACAAGGGTTGCATGGCTTATCCTCTTGCTGGTTTTAAGAGACCCAAAGCACCAGTAAAGATTCCAACAGCTTCCCCATCTTCTCTTCTGTAATAATTAACCAAGATTGTTATTAGATTTCTATACATGCTGTGCATCAAATGTGGAAGATATATGAGCTAACAACAAATCCAAGCACTGAGAATGAGGATCAACTTGTTATTATTAAAAGGGGATTATTCTAACTCCAGCTATCAAGATCATGAAAATCAATGCATTGTAGCTTTACCATTTCTCTAACTTTGACACATTGAACAAAAGGGTGAAATTAATTATTGATACATCAACAAAATTAAGAGCAAATTCTTAAGTGAAATAATCATCTTCATGAGATCCATATGTTTGCATTATCAATAACTGACAAGACTTGTTAGACAGAAGCACTATGTTCAGCAAAACCTTCACATAAACCCCAGATACTCATCCCATACTCAGCAAATAACACTGTTAGGAAGAATTATCTAATGTTCATGTATTGCAACTATAGCTTTTATGCATCATCCAAATGTCTAAACTTTCTATAAATGCTTCAAAAATCAAGTGACAGAGCGAAAGAGGATCTAGCAAGAATGCCCTGGTTCTGCTAACCGAAAATAGGACTCTCAGAATTCAGAAATTTAGAGTGAGATATATTAGTTCAACCTTTCCTCCAAGATAACAAAATGACCTGTCTACTGTCCTTCAGTCTTGCAAAATCGTTCTCCAAAACTCCAACATATGTTACCAGGAATTGCCTAGTTCGCTAAGATTGCCCAGTCAAATATTCCAGCATGCCAATCACACTAAAATTTGATCAAAATACCTTAACTCCAAGTAAAATCAATTATAGTCTTTGCAACTTCCACTCAAAGGCTAGTAGAAATACTACATTTCTTTAAAATATCCTTGCTTCCTTCCTACTAGTCATCCTGAAATTTCATAGTTGCTGGACTTCCAGCTTGCACAGCTCATGTGCATGATTTGCATAACCCATCTCACAAACAATATAGCTCATCATATTCCAAAACAAGCTAAGCTTTCTCATATATAATTAATAAACCAATTTTAAAAAGTCCACAGTTCCTATTTTATTTCACATTTTGACATCTACCCACCTAATAATAACTCAACAAAACATGGTTTCACATTTATTCCGTAACCTGTATCTATTTCATGTGGGTCGATTATCCAGTGGGTAAACGA